TAACATACAAGTACTAATTTAATTCAACCGGTTTGACTTGTTTGACTTTGACTTGAATTTGACAGTTGTCACAGCGGGGCCGTATGCAGTTTGGGCGGGGCCCGTTTATATGTATGTTATATGTGGTATTTTGGGGAACTCACTAAGCTTTGTGATTACGGTTTATGTTTAAACTGTTTTCAGGTACTTCTGGTTTCAAAAGGAATGACCCAACTAGATCACACTGCATCCCCTGAAGATTTATTCCGCATTAACTGTTTATGATTTTACTCTAATGTTTTGAGAATACTTTTATTCTGACCGACTTTTAGAATAATGAATGAATGGTTTTGACTTATTTAGAATGAAATTTTTACTCGGAAATTTTGGAACGTTACACAAATAAGTGTTTATTTACCGAATCCATACCTTAGATCTACAAACCGATCAAACAAAGAAGAAAGTAGAGAGGATAAGAGGAAGATTGTGGCCGGTTGCATGCTTCACCAGAAATCATGATAATAGTGATGGTTTTCCAGCCACCTCTCAAGTCTCCAACAACCCTCCATCTTTACTTACCACTGTCGCTCCATCAGAAACCACCGACGAGTTTACATATATGAGATGATCAATGCAGATGGCAATGACGACGATGATCAGATGATGGTGCATATCTAAGACGATAATGCGAAGACAATGATCCATTGGCTCACTCTAAGACAATGGTGCGAAGAACACTATGGTTTTAAGGCGAACAAGTGGTGATAACACTCACAGGTAGAAACGACAATTTCAAGTGGTGATGACGACGCTAGAAGTGGCTTCAAACGTCGACGAATGTATAGAGAAGGTTCGTTGGAAGGTGGCGATGATGATAGGAATAGCCACCTGAGGGAGTAGCTGTCGGTGGTAGTTTAAGGAGTGTGGTTTAGGGTGTCTTCAAAAAGTTTAGAGAATAGGAAGGAAGAGAAATATCAGTAAATGGAGGATGAGGTGGGTGGGAATGTGGGGGCAGTGGGCCTTATTTTTTTAATTTAATAATAATAATAATAAATTAATTGGAAAATAAATAGACAAAGGGCATTATAGTCATTTTAGACATGGCATGGACTAAAACCGAAACAAAATCATTTGTTATGGACGAAGCGTGCAACTTTTAATGGCACAAGAGGCGATCCGAGTTAACTTTTGAAAATAATGATTAAACATGTCTTTTGACACCTGCATGAGAGACGATTTGGGTAATTTACTTTGTTAACTATGTATTAATGAAATAATAAATATTAAATATGTACTTAAATATCTTATACATATTAATGAAATAATACAAATATAAGGGCGATTAACCTTAGAATTTATTGATTTCATTTTATATGAAACGTGATGACTAAACAGTCAAAATTAAAATATCAAATGCAAAATAGCAGCTAAAGGGGGATATTTTCGTCTTTTCATCACTTCAAAATTCGCGGGCCAACTGTAATCTGCTAAGGAATAGCGTTATCAGCTCGCCGAGAAACTGTTCGTCCCCGTGAACCCTGAACGATCCAATTATGTGTGTGTGTCAGAGATTTAACGATCTCGAAGGCAATACCATTGACAGTTAGGTGTCGAGCGATTTGTTGATCAGTGATCATATCATGCAGACAATTTAACAGGAATATTAGGAAGGGCAGATCTCAATGGCAGCGTCAGATGGCACCGAGTACTTCGATGTGGATATCGAGAGCGGTCATGATATGTTTTCATGGCGGTCAAATGCTGAGGAGGCTCAACGAGACGAGACGGAGCTTCTATGGGCGGCGATAGAGAGGCTACCATCAAGAAAGGAGAAGAAATTCGCGTTACTGAAACGCTCAGTATCCGGATCAAATGGCTCTGAAGAGAGAACGGAAACGATAGACGTTACGAAACTTGATCGGCGCAACCGTTCACTTATCGTTAGGAAAGCTCTCGCTACGTCTGAACAGGATAATTATAAACTCCTTGCGGCCATCAAAGAACGATTCGATCGGTATTAGCATTACTTGATGCTAGGTTTTTAGTTTTACTCACTTCAGAATCTGTTTAAATTTGGAGAAATCTCTATAGTCAAATTTACCGTTTCAATTTTCTTTTGAGGTATTGATGAGTCTAATTTTGTTTTGTTTATCAATTTTTGCATTGATGATGGGAAAAGAGTTGGATTGGAGGTTCCGAAGGTTGAAGTTAGGTTTGAGAACCTGAACATCGAGGCAGATGTAGTGATTGGCTCTAGAGCTTTACCGACTTTAGTTAATTATTCTCGTGACGTGATTGAGGTCAGTGTGGTCATCGTCTCATTCATTTAACGAACCATTCAAATTCGGAACATTAACTTTTGGTCAAAATTTAAGTAGATTTCACTATCAATCTTCATAGGTATGTTCTTTTGTAAGCTTAATGTATTTATTAGTGTTTTCTTCAAATATTTATCGAACACATGCAATATTTATGATGGATAAGTAGCTTCGGTCTTCAAATCTCTAATATATATATAACATGCATTTATGACATGCATGTATGACGTTACCTTTTATATAAGTTGCTTACTGATTTCGTTTTGACTTCACTGGTGCTTGCAGCATGTCTTAACGAATTTGAGGATTTTCCACCCACGGAGACATCGTCTATCAATCTTGAAGGAGATTAGTGGCTCAATAAAACCAGGAAGGTACTATTGTAATTTGTATATGTGCATTGTCTGTCTCCTAATACGTGATAACTTTGAAGTGGAAAATAGAATTTCATCATTTTGCATCCGTAGGAGATGTTCTATTGCATGAATCATAGACACATACATAAAGCGTTTATAAGTGATTTGACTACCATATTTTATATTATAAAATGCTGTTGCAGAGAATTGTTTAATGTCATTTGTTGGCGATTGAATCAAACATAAAACCTTGTAATTTTGAGAGAGAGGTTTGTCCACACTTATACTTGGGAAATTGGTATGCATGGACAATTGCAGAAACACGTATTTTTCCAAGTGTTTGTGTAACAGGAATATGAGTTCAATACAAATCAAGAGATGGAGATAAAAGTTTATTGAGTTTGTATACATAGTAATTACTGGTTACTTTGAGAGTTTGAGGATAATACGGTTTAAGCAATGTTTGTATTAGTAGCAAATTTTGAAACTGAAAAACCATTTTGAAATTGAGTAGTGATCTTAATCCATTTTGAGTCTTAATATGATTGTCATGCTTTTACGACAAGAGGAAAGGGGAAAGAAAATATTAAATGTTCATACTTCATACTATTTAGTAGCACAAAAAGGTGCTAAATTTGAAGCAAGGTAGGCACTATTCAGTTCCTTTTCTTGTTTCTTTCCTTTTTCAAAGTTAAGAGATACATTGTTTTATCCGGAAGCTTAATGATCAAATCTGAAGAGTTTAAACTGATGTGCGTTATTTGAATTTTCCACTACATTACCTCATCACTCTAGGAAATTGATTGTCAAATTAACAAAAGAAAGTGTCATATTAAGTCTATTTCTGTTTGACTTATGAACAGGATGACATTGCTTTTGGGCCCACCTGGTTCTGGGAAATCTACATTGCTCTTAGCTCTTGCAGGAAAACTTGATACTAGCTTAAAGGTATCGATGCACAAAATTTCTTTCTTACTTTTTTTTTTTTTCGAATGTATTCTTCCTGCATAATTGCATAGTTTCGGACATGATCTTGTGATCCTTTTCATTTAACATGCTATATTGTTTTCAGAAAAGTGGTAAGATTACATATAATGGCCATGAATTTCATGAGTTCTGTGTTCAAAGGACTTCAGCTTACATTAGTCAAACAGATAACCACATTGCAGAACTAACAGTACGAGAAACTCTGGATTTTGGTGCTAGATGTGAAGGTGAAGGGTTTGCAGGTTTGTCTTGCTGAAAACCTCTGTATGTTCCCTTTATGGCAATGTTTTCTATTTCTATTTCTATTTCTTTGTCTTGTAATATCTTATACATCCAGGAAACTTGAGAGAACTTACTCGTTTGGAAAAGGAAAATAAAATACGCCCCAGCCCTGAAGTTGATGCATTTATGAAGGTTACCATTTTCAGAATTGTAGTATACTTTCACTACTTCACATACGCATCTACACTGTTATCTGAAAATTAGTTGTATATATGTAAATTACTAGGCGTCCTCTGTTGCTGGGAAAAGACACAGTATTTCAACAGATTACATGTTGAAGGTGCTTGGTCTTGATGTATGTTCAGAGACATTTGTTGGAAATGATATGCTCAGAGGTATTTCAGGTGGTCAGAGAAAGAGAGTTACTACAGGTTCTTTTCTCTCTTTTTCAGTCATAAAAATGGTTTCTTTTGTGAAAAATAAATAGTTTGAGTAAAGTATATTTTATTTTTAGGTGAGATGGTGGTTGGTCCAAGGAAAACCCTTTTTATGGATGAGATATCAACTGGACTAGATAGCTCAACAACGTATCAAGTTGTGAAATGCATAAAGAATTTTGTTCATCAAATGGAAGCCACAGTTCTGATGGCTCTTCTTCAGCCTGCACCCGAAACGTTTGATCTCTTTGATGATCTGGTGGTATTATCAGAAGGCCATGTGGTATATGAAGGTCCTCGAGAACAAGTGCTTGATTTCTTTGAATCATTAGGTTTTCAAAAGCCCCTACGTAAAGGCACTGCAGATTTTCTTCAAGAGGTATTTTTTTATGTTTATTTGATTATTTTTCTAGAATATCACTTTTTTACTAGGAAAGTTTGCTACTGAATGCTGATGTGTAATTTTATATAGGTCACATCAAGAAAAGATCAGGCTCAATATTGGGCTGATTCTTCAAAACCATATGAATACATTCCAGTTTCAAAGATTTCTGAGGCTTACAAAAAATCCATCTATGGAAGGTCTCTGGAGTCTTCCCTTTCTGTACCCTCTGATAAATCTAAGGGTCATGTGTCAGCTTTGAGGAAAAAGGAGTATGGTGTATCAAAATGGAGGCTTTTCCAAGCTTGTTTTTCAAGAGAATTTCTATTGATCAAAAGACATAGTTTTCTTTACATTTTCAAGACCATCCAGGCATGATCTATTTCTTGCTTTTCATGTTTCAAGTGTTTACTTCTGTTACAGAATGTGTGTCATAATATTCTCGTGTCTTGAAAATATATGTGAACAATGTATGCTATAATTACAGAAATTATGGAAATTACACAAAGTATTAACATCTAACACCCCCTCAAACTCAAGAGGAGGGTATGCTTGTGCATATAAGTTGCAATTGATTGTGTGATTTTGAAATGTAACATAACATTTATCTATCACATGACCTACAGGTTGCATTTGTCGGATTTGTTACATGCACACTCTTCATAAGGACAAGATTACACCCCACAAATGTAACAGATGGAAGCCTATATGTTGGTTGCTTATTCTTTGCACTCGTGCACATGATGTTCAATGGATTTTCCGAACTCCCACTTATGATATTCCGACTACCCGTATTTTACAAGCAAAGGGATAATAATTTCTATCCTTCATGGGCTTGGTCTGTTTCTAGTTGGATTCTCCGTGTTCCCTACTCTGCTGTTGAAGCTATTGTATGGTCTAGTATAGTGTATTACAGTGTTGGCTTTTCCCCTAGTGTAGGAAGGTATGCCCTATTTATTGCATCTTATAACTCCTGTCATTAGAATCTTGACATGCTCTTATGACTTGATTACTTCAATTCTTCTCAGGTTTTTCCGTTACGTGTTTGTTCTGTTTTCAATGCACCAGATGGCTTTAGGTCTCTTTCGTACATTGGCTGCAGTTGCAAGAAATGTGATCATTGCCAATACTTTCGGTTCAGCTGCCCTGCTTGTGGTATTCTTGCTGGGTGGATTTATCATGCCCAAAAGTAATTAAATTGCTAAAGTGTTTTTTAGTTTAATTTTCATGGTTAAACTAGTGATTAGAAATTAAATTATCTTCTTTCAGATATGATTAAGCCATGGTGGATTTGGGGTTTTTGGGCGTCACCTCTCTCATACGCACAAAGTGCAATTGCTGTTAACGAATTTACTTCCACAAGATGGATGAAGGTATGTTTCTCTCACCACTTAACACTTATGTATGTATGTATGTATGTATGTATGTATGCATGTCTTCTCTATGATAATACAATGGTGTCATTAAATTCAAACACTACCACTTTACAGAACCTCACTGGTACCAATACTACCCTTGGATACACTGTTCTTCAGTTCCATGATTTGCCTACTGATGATAATTGGTATTGGCTTGGAGTTGGTGTCTTGTTACTTTATGCTTTGGCTTTCAATATCATAGTGACTCTCAGTTTGGATTATCTTAATCGTAAGTGTCACTTATTCATATTTCCATGTCTTAATGTTTTTTTGAAGTCTGGTCACTGTTTCAATTTGTATCACAGCTCTAAAAAGTGCACAGATAGTTCCACCTGATACCAGAGAAAACAATTCAACAGAATCCACAGGTTAATTACTCTTACAGTTGCATGCTTTAAAATTAAAGTTATATACTTATATACCCCCTCCTTCCAAAAAAAATGCAACATTTTTCTTTTTGGGTTGTCCTAAAAATATTTTTTATAAACTATGTGATGTTGCAATTTACATTATGGAGGGAGTATATGTTAAAAAACCTCCAATTTGCAATTTGCATTTTAACTGGTGATGCAGCTGGCAATCAGGCACCACCTGCTGACACTAGTTCTAGAAGACAAGGCATGACTCTCCCATTCAAACCCTTATCAATGACTTTTCATAATGTCAATTACTTTGTTGACATGCCAAAGGTACAACACCTTAAACATGGATAATTCAGTGTCACCATTAATTTAGCTTAAAATTACTCGACTTTTTCCAGGACATGAATTTGGAAGGAGTACCAGAAACAGAAAGGAAGCTGCAGCTGTTGTCAGATGTAAGTGGAGTGTTTTTGCCAGGTGTCCTTACTGCACTAATGGGATCAAGTGGAGCAGGTAAGACCACCTTATTGGATGTCCTTGCTGGTAGGAAAACCGGTGGATACATCGAAGGGGAAATCAGTATCTCAGGCTTCCAAAAAGAGCAATCTACTTTCGCTAGGGTTTCGGGTTATGTAGAGCAAAACGATATACACTCTCCTCAAGTCACAGTCATCGAATCCCTCTTGTTCTCTGCTTTTCTCCGCCTTTCTCCAGATGTCAACGAAAAACAAAGACGAGTTAGTTTCAAGTTTTCCACCATTTTCACCCGATGTAAATTTTCTTATCTGATTGGTCAATTATATTGTGCAGGAATTTGTTGAAGGGGTGATGAAATTAGTTGAGCTTGATAATCTAAGAGATGCTTTAGTAGGCTTGCCTGGGAGTACAGGATTGTCAACTGAACAAAGAAAACGGTTAACAATTGCAGTTGAGCTTGTTGCAAACCCTTCAATCATATTCATGGATGAACCCACATCTGGACTTGATGCAAGAGCTGCTGCCATTGTCATGCGGACTGTACGTAACACAGTTGATACCGGAAGGACAGTGGTTTGCACAATTCATCAACCCAGTATTGAGATATTTGAAGCATTTGATGAGGTTCAGTTTTTACTAATTTGACCTTTATTATAAGTCATGTGGAAACTTTGTTCTTATACACTATGTTTCATCCATAGCTACTTCTTATGAAAAGAGGAGGACGTGTGATTTATGGTGGAAAAGTAGGTGAGAGGTCAAACATTTTGATCAAGTACTTTGAGGTAAAAAAGAAATCCATCATTATGCTTCAAAAGGAACATTGTTTCTATGGTTTTACATTTTCTCTTTTTTCCTTTCCAGAGTATAAATGGAATTACACCGATGCCAAGTGAATACAATCCTGCTAATTGGATGCTTGAAATGACTACACCTGCTGCTGAAGAAAGACTCGGGCAAGACTTTTCCGTGATTTATAAAAACTCTAAGCAATATAGGTAATCTTTTATAATTGGTGTTGTGACTTGTGAGTACTCACTCTAAACAAAAGCTTGATATTTTTAACATCTTTCAATAGAGATATTGAAGCTTTGATTCAACAAACGAGTACTCCACAACCTGACTCTGAACCTTTACACTTCTCTTCCACATACTCCCAAACTGGTTTCTCTCAATTCAGAACTTGCTTATGGAAGCAGAATCTTGTGTATTGGAGAAGCCCAGAATACAATGCTGTGAGATTGTTCTTCACAACTATGTGTGCCTTGATTGTTGGTTCTGTATTTTGGGATGTTGGGTCAAAAAGGTAACATATCATCTGTTGATTGGTTTTTGACATCACATTTCTTGTTAAATAAATAAATGGTTAATTTATTAATTCTGCAGAAACAGCAGCCAAAACTTAATGGTGGTAATGGGTGCTCTTTATACTGCTGTCATGTTTCTTGGTGTAAATAACTCTTCATCTGTACAACCAGTGATCGCAATTGAAAGAACAGTTTTTTATCGTGAGAGAGCAGCTGGAATGTATTCTGCAATCCCTTATGCTATAGCACAGGTAAATAATTATGTTTTATCTTTTTTTTTTCAGTTTGTTTGTTTTTTCTTTCTACATGTGAGTTTTGAGTTTGATTTCTACTGTAGGGTCTTGTGGAGATCCCCTACATTGCGGCCCAGACAATATTATATGGCATCACTACATACTTCATGATCAACTTTCAGAGGACAATTGGTATGATACAATGATACTTATATATTTACCTTCTTTTACTGTGAATAAAATACAATTACAAATTACAGTGTTAGCTTCAATTATTGTTGTGGTTCGTGCAGGGAAGTTTTTACTCTACCTTGCGTTCATGTTTTTAACTTTCACTTACTTTACCTTCTATGGAATGTTGGCTATTGGTCTTGCACCATCTCAACAAATGGCTGCTGTTGTTTCTGCTGCTTTTTACTCATTATGGAACCTCCTTGCTGGTTTTCTCGTCCCAAAACCGGTAACTAACTTTTACCTAATAGCAATGTTTTATTTATTTCCCTTTTTTTTTTTTTTTTTTTTTTTTTACTTTTGTTTTTTGTATGTAGTTAATACCCGGATGGTGGATCTGGTTCTACTACCTATGTCCAATTGCATGGACTTTGCAAGGTCTCATCGGGTCTCAACTTGCTGACGTGGAAGAACCCATCACAGGACCTGGAGGTTTCCAGGGTACAGTGAAAGGCTATTTGAAAGAAGCACTTGGCATAGAATCCAACATGATTGCTCTTTCAGCCTTCATGCTTTTTGCCTTCAGCCTCCTCTTCTTTCTTATCTTTGCACTCTCCCTTAAATTTCTTAATTTCCAAAAAAGATGACCTTCATACTCATACTCACTTCACAATTTTTGTCCACGGGTAAAGATTATCTTCATATTAGGTAAAGGTAAATTAATTAGTTTTGGTGAAGATATTAGGTAAAAAGATAAAATAGTCAAAAAAATTTGGCCAGGTATTAGGTAAAGGTGTTTGAAATGATAGGCACCTACATCTTGCTATCTTCAAGAAAATTTGATTCTTGTTTGAATGTCTCTCACACAAGACAAGATCAGGAAAACCAGGGAAATTGAATTGAATTGGAGTTTAATATTTCATCTATATGTCGTAGAAAGGGGTGCAAGATTATCGAAAAAGAAAAAAGGAAGTCAAATTTCATCAATATATATATTCAAATATCACAACTAGGCACCAGCAAACGAGTGGTACACCACATTCCTTTCCAAATTATATGGGAAAATTTACATTTACACCCCCACAATTATCGCTTTCCTACTTTTCCACCCTACATTTAAAAAAAATACACCTCATACCCTCCAAAACCACCATCATTTCAAGGAATTAGTTTTTCATTCCTCATAACATCAATCCAATGTGATATCGAATCAAGAGCATGATACCTCGTTGTAAACCCGAGTCGATCTGCTTTCTCTCTTGTCCCTAACATCTTTACCGGGCACCGAAACAAAGCATCCAAGAAATACCAGTTAGCCAGATCCTCCATTTCAGTCTCGACCAAACCCTTTTTCTTCACTATCTCCTTCCAAACTGCCCCCTTATCACTCATACACCCTGCAAACGTAAAATCCTCCGACAACATCTCCCAAGGCACAACCGCCCCAAGCTTTTCCCCAATCGCTCCCCATATATCCTTCCAAGTAGAACCATCTCCATTTATTGAATTAAACGCTTGCCCATTGTTTGACTTAACCAAATCATTTGTGGATGCCCAAATTTGTTGTTTGGCTACAAGCCTAGCATCCGAGACATCCACAAACTGCTCTTCAAAACAATCTTTTCTTCCACCAAAAACAAACGGAAGATTCAAATACTTACAAATGGTCCCGTAAACGCATAAACTTCCCATGAAGTTATACAATGTCTTTCGTGAACTCCCGATGATCAAACCAGGCCGATGAACCGACCATGGAACCACGCCCATGAGCCTCTCTTTGAGCAAGTCTTCGAGACCATAATAAAAATTACACCCTTCGACCCGTGGGCAATTCTCATCGTAATAAGAAACCCTTTTCACAAGATGATCAAGAGAACTTCCTTGTAAAGACACATAGTGTTTGGTACCAGTTTGAAGAGAAAAGTGCTTCAAATTGGCTCCTGGGAGGATAGAGTCTAATGCGTTTGACATCATGTCCTTGTTTTGATCATAACATTCTACACTATCTAATGGAAACTGGCTAGCCCATGTGACCCAGAACACATGGGTCACATCATGCAAATGAGAAAGTTTTGTTTGGGTTTCGAAAGGGTCAAGAAGGTTGCATGAAATGAAATGGTAATTAGGGTTTGGGTTTGTGTTTGGTTTCTTGATCGTCGTCATCTCTTGTCGTCTGGCCACGCCATAAACCTTCCATTTGGATTTTGAAAGTAGCTTCTCAAGAAGCTGTTTTCCAACAAGACCAGTTACACCAAAGATGATTGCAACGTCTTTTGGAGCTTTTTTCACTCTTTTCTGAAGCTTTTCGATAGCCATTTTTGAGGCTTTTGGAACTCTCGATGAGGCTACTGAACTTCTTGTTGTAATTTGGTGTCTATGAATGTGCGACGATATGGGTTTATATAGATGTGTGTTCTTTGGTTAATTAATCTCTTTCTAACTCATCTTAATATATTCAAGAAATGTCAAGTGGGGTTTGACTAAGACATGGTATTGGAATCTTTTTGATCCTTGCAAAATTAATTATTAAGATAACAAAATCTTTTTCTCCTAGATATAAAAAGAAAATCTACTTTTTATATAAGGTAACGAATTAAAAATATTGTGTTTGAATTAGTAAACTTTGAGATTTATCTGTTTTAATTAAGATAAGCAATTTTTTTTTCGTATTCTAGTGGATTATTATTAATGGAAAACACCATTGTAATGTTGGCATCAAATCTATTATACGTGTTGAGCAAATCATCATATTACCAATATAGAAAATTTTAAAACGTCGTAACCAAATAATTCTTGTTTTTAAAAATGGTTACTTAAATTAGAATTTTTTAAAAACCTTTATACCAAAAACTTTTGTTTTTAAAGATGATTACTAAAATGTGAAAATAACTAAAGTTGGTTGATTTTTTTATAATCCCGCCTTAATTATAATAAGTAGATAGAAAGGAACGACAATACCTACTATCCTCTAAACTTTGGTATATTAATACGTTGGTGTTTCATAAATTAAGAATATAATACAAATGTTTTAGTTATTAGTAAAATGTTTAACCTTACCTCTTAAGAATGATAAACCAAGAAATTCGTCGACGAGAATTTAAACATTTTGACACTAAAAATGGTATTAACACCGTAAATTGTGTGGGGTTGGAGAAATAAATGGATTAATTAAACATGGAGGAAACTTCTTTGTACATGTTGATTTTTATGATTGTGCATGAATGAAATAAAGAAGTGGCCCATTTCTTCTAAACTATTTATAAGGTCACCGGTGATTATTGTAATACAAAGTCTAAAAATTTATGTTTAAAAAGATGTACGCCATTCTTTTATCTGGTCATCTAAAAGATATAATAGCGGGGAAAATATTAATCTAGCCAAAAACACTAATTACTTATCTAAAATTAGCAAAAAAAAAACACATTAGCCAAAACTAGCCCACGAAACAGTAGATTGGTTAGGATTGACTACGGTCAACGTGAGAAAACTACTCTTTCGTCGCAATGAGATACTTTTTCGTAGTCCGTCTATTGTTTTGTGGCCCATTGGCCCATAGTATATAATGTTTTTTTCAGATTAAGTTACTTTTTCCTCATTTTTTTTTCCATTGTCTACTATTTTCTCTTAATGGAGCACCCGAAAAACAACGAGTTACGTCCATTTTTAATCAAAATTTTACCGTATTGTTGATTAGGAATAGTTTTGTATATGTGGATAACTTTTTTTTTTTTGAAAAAAACCGAATATATATATA